GGCCTCCCAAAGTGCTGGGATTATAGGTGTGAGCCACGGTGCCCAGCCCGGTTTGTTGTTTTAAGCCACCAACTTGTGGGAACTGGTTATAGCAGCCACAGGAAAGCCCCGGCTGGACATCGTTATGGTCCCTCTCGCCCCAGCCCTGAATATTCCAGACTGGTCCAGAACCTCAGCCCCAACTTTTCAAGTCCCTGGTCACGGCTGTCGTGGGAGCCCAGGGGCACACTCCTCTCAGAGCAGGAGAAATGTTAACTGTAAAGGTTAAAATGCATTATTTCTTTTATTTATTTATTTATTTTATATACCAAAAAAAGAGACAAGGTTTTGCCATGTTGCCCAGGCTGGTCTCAAACTCCTGGCCTCAAGTGCTCCTCCCATCTCGGCCTCCCAAAGTGCTGGGATGACAGGCGTGAGCACTGCGCCCTGCCTTGTGCTTTTATTTCTAAACACATTTTCCTAATGTATTTTTCTGATGACTCTCAAGGGGAAGACGGCTGTTTTGACTGGATGTGGTGGTGCATGCCTGTCAAAGTCCCGGTTACTCAGGAGGCTGAGGGGGGAGGATTGCTTGAGCCCAGGAGTTTGAGGCTGCAGTGAGCTATGACAGTGCCACTGTTCTCCAGCCCAGGCAACAGAGCAGAGTCCTGTCTCTAAAAAAATAAATATTAAAAAAACAAGAAAAACAAAACAAGGAAGAGCAACTGCATAGCTGCCTGACAAAACGAGAGCGTGGCTCAGCCCCACCGCCCCGCACCACCTCCCTGGAAGCCCCACGCTGTGCTGGGCGCTGGGCTCCCCGTCCAGGTGCTGCATCTGCCTGGCTCTGTGCTCGGAGTGCACGCGATGTGCCCGAGGTGTCAGGGCAGGGAGGAGGATCGATCTCGATGGTGACCCAGTGAGGTAGGTGTCATTGGCCCCATTTTACAGATGGGGAAACCAGGGCATAAGTGTGACCTGGCCTAGGCAAGGCCTTCGGGGCAGACCCAGATCTGACCCGGCCCGAGTGTGCAGGGAGCTGGCTTTCTCCACCAGACAAGCAGGCCAGCTGCTGCACTCTCGCCTCGGTAACGTGCTGGGGGTGGGGGCCCCATCCTGTGCGGACCCCTCACCAACTTCTCCCCAAGGATGCGGCTGGGGACTCCTGGCACCCCTTGCCTCTGACATGGCTGTGTCATGCCTGTCCTGCCAACTGTCATTCTGGGCGTGGACATTTGGGGCTCCCACTTGAGGATGTCTGGGCTGCCCTCTGGGAGCTGGAGCAGCTGGCCACCCTGCCCCACATCTGCCTAGAGGCCCTTCAGCTCAGCACAGACCCAACCCCAGATGAGGACTCCTGCCCCCTTGGAGGTGGTAGGCTGCCCTATGCCCTGCTGGGCGCTGCCACGGTGCTGGGTGACCCCCAGCATGGTGCCCACTGATGTTCTGAGGCAGGAGCCCAGAGGGCCCACAATGTGCCACTGCATCCGAGCAATGCTTGCAGAAATGCCCTGCAAATAAAGTCATCACCACTGATGCGAACAGGGCAGCCACCAGGTACCTCTGCCCGCAGCCCTGTTCCCTGCCCACAGCCAAGGGAGCCAGCCAGGAGGGCTGCTGATGAAGAGGCCCCACTGCCTGCCACACGCGATCTGGGTTCCCGGCAGCCTGGAGGTATCGCTCCTCCCCTTGGCATGCAGCCACCTCCATGTGGGAAAGCCTGGGGCCAGAGGTCGTGGAGGGAGTGGCTTCAGGAACAAGAAATTGGTAGTTTGTCTTCCAGAGGGGACATGGGCACTGTGGCTGGTGGGCTTAGTGGACAGGAGCCACACTGCTGGCCCAGGACCCCCAACCTGCCATCCCCCACTGCCACACAGTGGGCTCAGCAGGACTCCTCAATCAGCTTCTTTGTGGGGCTTGGTGACCCTGGTGGGTGCACAGGCCTGGAGAAGGTATAGTTGTCTGCAAGGGCCATGGGCGACTGCAGCTCCTCGATGTCCCTGGTGTGGGTGAGCCTGGTGATGTCTGTCCTCACGGACCAGTGTTTCCACCCCTTATGGATTCTGGACACTTCTTGGCGGGAATGGTCCGTGGCCAGCACGTAGATAATGGGGTCAGCCACGCTGTTCACCGTGGACAGGCACAGAAACACCACAGAGACCGTGTACAGCCTTTCCTCCAAGCCGCACACAGCGTTCCTGTCTCCTCTGTAGTAGGAAAAGGCAGCGGCTTTGACGAGGAGAACCAGGTGGTACGGGGCGAAGCAGACCAGGAAGATGACAACCACCGCGATGGCCGAGTTCTTCACTTTGGCCTTCTGGGCAGCGCTTAAGCCCATGCTCTGCTTGATGCTCCTGAAAATCCGGTGGTTGGTGAAGGCGATGATGGAAAGAGGGATGGCAAAGCCAACGGTGAACCTGGCGTAGTAGTACCCGGCAATCGTGCTGTCCATCTGCAGCATGTCGAAGCAGGTTTCCTTGTCTTCCATCTGGAACACCGGGTAGTGAACGATACCGACGAGGATAAAGATGCAGGCGGAGATGAGGATGGCGGTCCTCTGGCGGCGGTGGCCTCGACTCTCCAGCGCATACACCACGGCCACGAAGCGGTCGCAGGAGATGCAGCACAGGAAGAGGATGCTGACGTAGATGTTGCAGAAGAAGATGTAGGCGGTCACCTTGCAGGCCAGCACGCCCAGGGTCCAGCGGTGCTGGTTGCGGATATAGATGACCCAGAGCGGCAGCGTGCCGGTGTAGAGCAGCTCGCAGAGCGCCAGGCAGAGCAGGTAGACGGCCAGCACGTTGCCCTGCAGCACCTGCAGCAGCGCCAGCCACGCAGTCAGGCAGTTTGCTGGCATCCCCAGCGTGCACACTGCGCTGTATACCACGACCAGGACTATCCTGCTCTCCTCGAAGGACACGTTGTTACAGGTCTTGCTGGGGAGACCCAGGGAGGCCCACGGGGTAGTGCTGGTCACTAGGGTGGTGTTTCCTGTAGGACAGAGACAAGAGTGAGAACGGGAGTCTCTGGAAACCACCTGAGAGAGACTCTACTGTGGGAAGGAAGGATAGAAGCTTCATGGTAGCTCAGACTAGACACACACAGGTGTTTAAAACATTTCCAAATGGATTTTTTAGAGCAATTATTAGATAGCGGATCTCCAACCCAGCAGCCTCATGGGCGAAGAATGCAGGCTGGGCAATACTGAATCTTTTTTTTTTTTTTTTTTGAAATGGAGTTTCGCTCTTGTGGCCAGGTCGGAGTGCAATGGCGCAACCTCGGCTCACCACAGCATCTGCCTCCTGGGTTCAAGCAATTATCCTGCCTCAGCCTCCCAAGTAGCCAGGATAACAGGCATGTGCCACCATGCCTGGCTAATTTTTGTACTTTTAATAGAGATGAGGTTTCACCATGTTCGCCAAGCTGGTCTTGAATTCCTGACCTCAGGTGATCTGCCTGTGTCAGCCTCCCAAAGTGCTGGGATTGCAGGTGTGAGCCATTGCGTCTGGGTAATACTGAATCTTTGTAACTCACTGAGGTCAGTTTTCAAAAGTGTTGCTTGAGGCCCAGCATAGTGGCTCACACCTATAATCCCAGCACTTTGGGAGGCTGAGGCAAGCAGATCACTTGAGGTCAGGAGTTTGAGACCAACCTGGCCAACATGGAGAAACCCTGTCTCTACTAAAAATTTTAAAAAATTAGTTGGGCGTGCTGGCTCAACCTGTAATCCCAGCTACTCGGGAGGCTGAGGCAGGAGAATCCCTTGAACCCGGGAGGCGGAGGTTGCAGTGAGCTGAGATCGTGCTGCTGTACTCCAGCCTGGGTAACAAGAGTGAGACTCTGTCTCAAAAAAAAAAAAAAAGTTGCTTGTGTGTTTGAAAATAATGTTGATCCTGTAATTGCTGTGTGAGTGCTCTTCTAAGCAGTCTGTTAGGCGCTGCTACCACATACACCCTTCCAGAGCTGTTCCCACTTTACCTCCACTCCCCGCCTGGCCCCATAGCTGGGCACTGCCTCATCCTAATTCCTAATCTGTAGTTGTTTTTTTTTTGTTGTTTGTTTTTTTTTGAGATGGAGTCTCTCGTTCTGTTGCCCAGGCTGGAGTGCAATGGTGCGATCTCAGCTCACTGCAACCTCCACCTCCCGGGTTCAAGGGATTCTCCTGCCTCAGCCTCCTGCGTAGCTGGGATTGCAGGCATGCACCACCAAAGGCCGGCTAATTTTGTAGTTTTAGTAGAGATGAGGTTTCTCCATGTTGGTCAGGCTGGTCTTGAACTCCCGACCTCAGGTTATCTGCCCTCCTTGGCCTCCCAAAGTGCTGGGATTACAGGCGTGAGCCACTGCGCCCGGCTAATCTGTAGTCTTACCACATCTCTGGCTGTGTGAACTATCAATTACTAAAAAAGACAATTAAAAGCTCCTGCAGGGGTGGTGGATGTGTCCACTTCTTGTATTCTCTCAATGCTTGCTTTATGTATTTGAAGCTATTGTTAATGGGGGCATAGGAGTCACAAATGGTTCTGTCTTCTTGGTGAATTGATCTTCTTATTACTATGTCATGTGATACTCCTCATCTTGGTGGCAGGCAGAATAAAGACCCCACCCAAAAGAAGTCTGAATCCTCATCCTTGGGACATGTAGCTATGGTAGGTTACATGGCAAAGGGGAACTAAGGTTGCAAGTTGAATGAAGATTGCTAACTAGCTGACAGTAAAATAAAGAGATTATTCTGGACTATCTGGTGGGCCCAATGGAGTCAAAAAAGTCCTTAAATGTGGGAGAGGGCAAAAGAAAAGGAGATCAAAGTTATCTCAGAAACCTGCCTCAAACACAGCTCTCCAAGGTCAGAAACTCTTCCTCTCCAGCCAGAGGGTTGCTAGAGGTCACGCATCCGCGTGTGGAAGGTTCCTGAGGCCAAGGGGCTGGACGGTACCCAGGGACCCCTGACCTCGAGGGAGCTGGATGGTGCCCAGGGACCCCCGACCTCGCGCCAGGGCACAGCTGAAGTTTGCCCCGCCTGGGGCTGCTGCAACCTGAGAAGTGTGGCAACGCTCTGTCCATCCTTCGGGTGCTGAGGCCAGGTCTGTCGCGGCTTCCTGCTGATCTGGAGGTTCCATGATCTGTAGCCACAGAAGGCCCAGAAGCATGAACTCAGCCGGAGTGGGCAGCCAGGACACTGGAGCCGACAGTGCTGGCAGAGCTCTGGGAAGTCACGCCACTGCACCAGGCCACTTGTTTTTGTGCATTTAAAAAATTCACCTGGGCATGGTGGCTCACGCCTGTAATCCCAGCACTTTGGGACGCCAAGGCGGGCAGATCACCCGAGGTCAGGAGTTCGAGACCAGCCTGGCCAACCTGGTGAAACCTTGTCTCTACTAAAAATACAAAAGTTAGCCAGGCATGATGGCAGTTGTCTGTAGTCCCAGTTACTCGGGAGGCTGAGGCAGGAGAATGGCATGAACCTGGGAGGTAGAGATTGTGCCACTGCACTCCAGCTTCGGCGACAGAGCGAGATTCCATCTCAAAAAAAAAAAAAAAAAATTGGCCCCACGGGCCGTTCATGCCTTTAATGCCAACTCTTTGGAAGGACAAGGCAGGTGGATCACCTGCGGTCTGGAGTTCCAGACCAGCCTGACCAACATGGTGAAATCCCATCTGTACTAAAAATACAAAAATTAGCCAGGCATGGTGGCGGACACCTGTAATCCCAGCTACTT